AGTACAGTAGATTATTTAATGTACCATTAAAGATTTGAATTTAACTTTTTAATTTCACCTATCTAGATTTATTTATTTTTCTCATAATAAGTAGATTAATAAATAGGGAAAGCGCAACAGCAAAGCTACATATACCGCTATGATAATAAAGGTAATACTACTATACTTTTCGGCCGGTATATTTCAACTGAGCTGATATACTCCCAGTCCACCCCAGTTGCTTAGCGGCATTCAATTTATAAACAATACGGCAAAAGTTTAAAATTGAAAAAACGAAAGTTAGAATATCCATAAACATGTATCCATAACTTTTTTCTTAATAAAGTTTTAAAACAAATAAATAGTTTCAATGGTATAATCTAAAAATGCAACTGTTTCCATTTCGTGTTTACTTGAAAAAACGTTTAGTTTTTAAAACTGTTTCCTAAAGAAACGCATTTATTTTTGTTTATTTATTATTATCCAAGTAAATGTCAAGTCAAAATAAAAAGCAACGTCATAGTTTAACTATTAAAAACATATGAAAGTTGCTTTTATACTTCATCAAGGGGAAGTTGGGGTTGTATTTAAAGTATTAACCCACCACAAAAATCTGATATTATTAAACTTCAAGAATCTGACAAATTTTTTTCTTTACTTTAAACAAAAAAAACTATTTTTTTATCAGCATTTTCACCCTCTCTGTAATAAAAAAATCGTTAAAAGCAATTGTTTGGAAATATTACTAATCGCATAAGTTTTTCAATAGTTTTTTTTATTATCATAATCAAATTATACATTACTTAAAAACCAAAAAATTTTTGACTGATATGTGACACCAACTCTTTTGTTTTATCATTTAAATGTTACACTTTTTACTTGGAAATAAAAACAGATTTGTTTTTAAAGTTAATGCAATCATATCTTTGCATTTAAAAATTTTAAAGAGAGCGATTTAAACAATTTAGAAATTATAGAAAATAAATAATGTAATAACTAATTAATGCTTAATTAACTAATGTAATAACTAATTAACCTTCATGAATAAAAGCTCAGAGACAGATTAAAGATTCCAATTAGACGGACTTAACAGGATACTGTTATTGCAGAACTTTAATGGTCTGTTCAGTTGTATTCACCAAAATAAAGCTATTCTTTTTTAAACAACAATATCACATAGGAAAAGATAATTAAAGTTTTTTAAAAGACGTTTAAAAATCTGAAAAAAAAGATAAACCCAAAATCAATCAAAGAATTTATCAACCAGTTTCTTAAGAGTTTCCAAATGGGGTATCTAAGAAGAAAAAAAACAAACTTTGTATGGTCTCCAGATAAAAACAAGTTTCTAAAGGTCAAAACTGACTTTTCGCTTCCTCTGCGTCAATTTTTTCAAAATTTTTAATTAATACCAGAGTTAACATCAGAGAATTTATCAAAACAATTTTTCTTTGTGAAGATGTATTTTATAAAGTTAAAAAGGGCCATCATCAATGCTCTAGAAACATGTTACTTAGGTTAAGTGAAAGAAGAAAAACTAGATCAAAAGTATTGGCTAAACTTTTTATTAAATAACTTATGATGAAGCAACTTATTTCATGGCCTACTTAAAGTTTACGGCCTAATATTCTAGATATTTTCCAAAAAAATATAAGGCCAGTTTAGAGTGTGGTTTTGAATAAGAGTGTAACGGTGATGTATAAATTAAAACTTGTAATATTGAAAATAAAGAATGGTTAACAAATGTTGTGTTGTTGGCTGTTTTTCAAACTATTATAAACATAATTTGGTTCCAGTTTTTTCATTTCCTGTAAAGAAAGAATTAAAAACGAAACGGATTAAACTTATAAATAAACTAAACTGGGTTCCAACTAAATCGTCAGTTATTTATGCAAAACATTTTTAGGAAAAATATTTAAAATATGGAGAATAAGAAAAAAGATTTCTTTTAATAAAGAAGTTAAAACCAGTACCAACTATACATCCAAGTGTTATATTGAAATCATCTATACCAATGATAAATTTGGAAAGAAAATCTCCAACAAAATGAATATACAAGAATGATCAAAGGACCGAGTTTTTAAAAAATAATTTAATAAAAAATTTAAACTGTATTGCTGATATTCCATATCCAAGTGGCTACCAAATGCTAAAACATAATGATCATATTCTGTTTTACAAAATGTTGTTTAATGAGTTTTTAATACCAGAAGTTATTGAAAGTAGACGAGCTGATGAGAGCTTACACGTTGAACTATTTTATAAGGGTTGTTTAGTGCAATTACCAAAGTGATTTGGTAATGGTCATAATTGTACATTAACTCATAAAATTATCTCAGTTTTTGAAGAACTTGAAAAAAATAAGATATCATAAAAAACCAATGTACTCTAATAACTTAATTTGATATGCATTATTATTGCGCAACACATCTATGCAGTTCTACAAAATACTTTTAGAAGAATTTCAATTACCATCACTTTCTTTATTAAAATAAATTTGCTGTAGTAACATTGATGCACTAAAAGCTACAAAACTATTACTTGAAAATGGCAAAATGTCACAAGACGTCTGCATAATATTTGATGAAATGTATATACAGAAATGTGCAGAATATTCTAGGGGAACTATAACAGGTGTAAACAGTGTTGGTGAACTTTTCAAAAGTGTTGTTTGTTTTATGATAAACAGTTTTAAGGAAAACATCCTATATATTATAAAGGCTATTCCAGTAGTACGAATTGACAGTGATTGGTTAAAAAATGAGGTTCTTGAAACTTTCAATCTTTTGCATAATAGTGGGTTTGTTGTGCGAGCTATTGTGTACGATAATCATGCAAGCAAAGTATCTGCATTTAATAAATTGTTATCAGAATATGAAAATGGATTTAATAGCTTTTCAATATTTTATAACTGCAGAAAATTTTATTTATTCTACGATGCTGTTCATTTAATTAAAAATGTGAGAAACAACTTGCTAAATCAAAAGAGGCTTTGATTTCCTCCATTTGAGTTTATTGGCTTTAAAGATAAGGTTACAGTTAAAGTGGAGAAGTATCTTGGAAACTATTTCATGATGTTCATGAAAAATATCTTGCTTTAATGCAGAATTACGTGAAGCTCCTAAACTAACAAATAAAGTGCTACACCCAGGGAAATTTAACCAAAATTTTCAAGTAGCTCTTGACTTATTTAATGAAAGTACAATAACTGCTTTGAAATCATACTTTCCTTTACGTGAGGATGCTGTTGGCTTTTTAGGGTTATTTAATAAATGGTGGATTATAGCTAATAGTAAAACCCAGTTTTCTTCCAATAACTATTTAGGAAATGCTGCTATCTTGAATGATAAAAAATCATAATTTTTACAAACAATGGCATTATGGATTGATTATTGGAAAAAACAAAAAATCATGAACTGTGAGAAATTTGTTATGTCTGCTCAAACTAGTTCAGCATTTAAGCAGACACTTAATTGTCATGCTTCTTTAGTTGAAGATCTATTAAATGAAGGTTATAAATTTATCATCATTGCAAGATTTTAAAGTGATCAAATAGAGAGAGGATTCGGACAGTACCGACAGATGAGCGGGGGGGGGGGGAGATTTTTGGTGAGCTTAAAAGATGTTTTGTGCTCTGAGCAAATTATTAAATTTAAAAGCTTTAGTTAAAGAAAGCATTGATATCTGCATTAGTGATATCAAACAGACTTATGATGAGAAGAATATTTTAAACAAACTTTTGGAAAAACCTCAGTGCACTTCTTTAAATAATGGGGCTTTGTCAGAAGAAAGCAGAGAATTTGCTTTTCATATTGCAGGTTATATTGCAAAAAAAAATTCAAAAAGATTAGCTAAATGCTGTCATAAACTAATGATTGGAGAAGACAAGTATGATTCTGCAGATAAATAATATGTTGAAATTTTATCGAGGGGAAGATTGACTATACCATCTACCAATCTAGGTAATAATGCTTTTGCACTTTTAGACTTTACTTTTGATGTAATAACCAACACTGGTTTGTCATTCAGATCTAATGCTCAATTTATTTTGAAAAAATTTTTATTTCTAGAAAATATCATTTGTTCTAACTACCTTATATTGGGATAAATCTTATAAATAAAACAACCAGTAATGTATTCTTCAATAATAAAAGAAAAATAATTACTGATGGTAATTATATGGACAACATAGTTGGTTTTAAAAAAAGGCAACGAAAAAAGCAAGATTGAACATAAATATAAAAATTAACAAGACATGTTTTTAACAAATTTAATATAAACAATATTTTTTTTTTTGTTCTAAGAAAATAAAATTAGTTAAAAAAAAATAAATAATTCTATAAACGAAATTTTGTTGCTGTTGAATAGAAAGCATTTTTAAAGTATTTTAAGACATAAATACATTTTGTCTGTTTATTTACTTGGCTTTTTGAAGCGCAATGATTCTTTCTTAATGGCCTTCCATTTTTTTCGGCAAATATGTATAATATTAGGCCGTAAACTTTAAGTAGGCCATGCTAAAGTCTAAATAGTCTTTACTGTTCTGTTTTCCAGTCCACACAATTTATGATCTTTTTTTAGGACAACAATAACATTAATCTCGTAATATTAAGCAGAATGTCTATTCACGCAACCAATTGCAGTGTTATTTAGTTACAAAACCACGGTAAAGTGCACAAAAACAGTGTAATTCAAAAAAAAAAATTTGAAAAAGAGAGGTTATCTTTAGGGATGTTTATCTGATTTTTGGTATTTCAAAATCTGCACTCGCAAAAATATTAAAGTGTATATGGAATAAGTATAGAAATAAAAATTGTGGAATAGATAAGTATGTAAATGGTTGGTTTAGTAAAGCTCCATGTTTTACTGGTGTGGACAGCTAAGATAAGTATAAACAAATAAAGTTCAGAAAAGGCCGGTGTAGAGTAGACTAAAAAATTTTGGAATTCAAGTTCTTTTTTTTAAAAAAAATTACTTTTAACAATATAAAAAAAAAAAAATAATAAAAGAACAAATGCTGTTACCTGCATCTCACAAAAAAGCATCTTTTCACTGCAATATTGACAGGTAACCAAACGATAAATGCATTTTATTTCTGTGTGATTCCTCATCTCATTACGTAAAAGTAAAGTGGAACACTGTTTATTGAGGCATTTTATTTTTTGATATTCACAAGATTCTAAATGGTTCTTAAAAAAAATATTTAAAACTATTCAATAATATGTGAGAATAACATAAACTTTTAGGTTAGCTTTGTTTATTAAGTGCTTTTAATAAGCGTTTTTTCACTAAAAATTATAAAGAAATTTTTTTTTTTTTTTTTGCTCCTAATTTTTAAAAAGAACTTCCAAAAGTTGGAATAAAACACAATTTTGCGAAAAGTAAAATCTAATCAAATATAAAAAGTTTTTCCTACAAGACTTAAATGCTTTAAAAATCTAAATTAAGGCATTAGGGAAAGTGAATAAAAAAGAGCAATTGCTTTTACTCAGCGTTTTTGGAGTAATTGCTCAAGTTTACGTGAATAAAAATATAGAGCAATTGCTCTTTTCTCCGCGAAAGCTTTTACTCATGAGCTTTTGCTTATTTAGCGATTTATATTTAGCGATTGCTCACATATGAGAAAAGTGCGTGAATAAAAAAGCTACAACTCAAAAAACGGCGAGCAATGGCTTCTAATTTTACGAGCACCTATAATAGTTGTTTTTTTTTTTTTTTTTTGATAACTGGACATTTTATTATTTTACTAATATATTTTACTATTTTTTGACTATATATATATATATATATATATATATATATATATATATATATATATATATATATATATATATATATATATATATATATATATATATATATATATATATATATATATATATATATATATATATATATATATCATATATATATATATATATATATATATATATATATATATATATATATATATATATATATATATATATATATATATATATATATATATATATATTTATATATATATATATATATATATATATATATATATATATATATATATATATATATATATATATATATATATATATATATATATATATATATGCCAGCAGATATTGCCCCTAAGCATATTATCTTATCATATTAGCATATTGTCTTTACTAACCATCAATTTGTGTGAAGGTAGGATTCTTTTCTGTATCTAAAAGATTAGCAAGTTTGACTTCACTCGCTGAAAGTTTTTTAGGCTTGTTTCCAGTTCGATGGATGTTAGACTTTTTTTTTAACCTTGTCTTCATGTTGGCAATCTTTTCGCCAATGTTTTTGTATCAATTTTTGTTCCTGTTGCTTGGAACATTTGGTCTTGCATTTTTAAAAATGGTTTGTTTTTCTTTATTTTAACGTTTGGAACTTGGCTTTTTTGTAGAAGTATTGGCAATTTGCACAGTATGTTTATAAAAACTTCATGTTCACATTTGTTAAAACTTTGGCTAGCTATATTATTTTCACTTGATTCAATTGAAATTTGGTTTGAAGAAGCCATTTTTAAATATTAAAAGTTAAAAAAGCTACTTATATCCGCAACGGCATATATCTTTTACTCCGACACAAAAGTAATTGCTTGCGACCATTAGCAAAACTTTATTCGCACATTATTGAGCAATTGCTATTACGGCGAGCATTTGCTTTTAGCTTTTACTTTTACTCTGAGCAATTGCTTGTAAGCAATTGCTCTTTTTTATTCACCCGGCCCATTAACTCCATTAAATTTATTAGATAATTTACAAACAATTTAAAATGCATACATTATATGTTCTCAGTGTTCCAGTCCATTGACACTTTTTGAAACTGTTATTACATTTAACATTTAATTCTAGAATAACTCTTTCAATGGCTTTATCACGAAAAGTCTATATGAAAAAACATTTTATCAATTTAAAAAAGAAATTCTTTTATAAGTGGTTTATAAAGGTTATGTTTTTTTTATTATACCTTCATAAACAAATTCATTTATTTAATTATTAATTTGTTATAGTTATTTTAGTTATCTATTACTGTTAAATTATATAAATACAATAGATGTTATATCATAAATTATAGATGACCTGGGTAAGAATAAGTAAATATAGTTTATCTTAATGGCAGCCCGTGAGATATCGTTAATAACCACATAAATATACAAAAAATACGCAATGATTATGAAGGAAAATTAGACTTTCCGTTTTGAAAAATAAAAAGTGAGACATAAACAAATAAACAATCAAATAACAATAAAATAAGTAAAATATACAAACTAAAAAGTAAACTATTTAATCAGATCAAAATACTACTTCGAAATCAAAAGGCTACTTTGTTTCCAGCCACCAATCATTGCATTATTTTGCGCAGTCTGATTATTTGACATAAATATAAGCAAATGTTTGATCTTAGCTCCATGTCTGGAAGTTTGCAATTTCAATCACCAAAAAACCATGGATCCGTCAATGCAGAGGTTGAACCTAAAAAATGATTTGTCAATCATAAGCAATCCTTTAAAAATAAAAGGTAGTCAAGAGACATCATGCTGTCAAAAAACATATTAAACTAAAAGATAACCACAATGATGAGTTTATACTGATTTGGTACATCTTTAAAACAATATCGTAATAATAAAATATTTCAAAACAATGCAAAATATGCCAACAAGAAAAATTTAAAACAATTACACATGCGAACCAAGAATCTTTGTTAAACAAAATATCCGATTCAATTTCAAATGCAGGCACAAAACATAAGTTTCATCGAAAAAACAATAAAGTTAAGTAAGCTCAAATAATGTATAACAGACTTTATAATCATCTAACTGAGAACGACATGTTGTATTGTAAACAATTTGGTTTTAAAAAAAAAAATTCCACTGAACACGCAGTAGTTGAACTTTCCAATCAAATATCTAATGCCTTAAATAATGACTGTTTTACATTAGGAGTTTTCATTGATCTGTCAAAAGCTTTTGATACCGTAAATCACTATATACTAATAAAAAAACTCGAAAACTACGGTGTAAAAAATAAAAACTTACTTTGGTTCAAAGATTATCTGACTAACAGAAAGCAATTTTTATACTATAATAAAAATAATACAATTCCACACTCCATAACTTGCGGGGTTCCTCAGGGTTCTATTTTAGGACCACTTTTATTTATATTGTACATAAACGACTTATACCTATCAACAAATCTTTTAGACCTAATTTTGTTTGCTGATGATTCAAATCTTTTTTGTTCTCACAGAGATATTAAATCACTTTTTAAAATAGTTAACGAACAGTTATGTAATGTTAGTGCATGGTTCGTAAGTAATAAACTTTCACTAAATGCGGAAAAAACAAAATATATGCTTTTCCATAAAGTAAATAAATCAGAAAATATTCCTCTTAAATTACCAGATCTTAATATTAATAAAACTTATATTAAAAGGGAATCTTACATAAACTTTTTAGGAGTAAAATTGGATGAAAATTTAAAATGGTGTTCACATATAAATAGCATTGAAAAAATAATCTCAAAAAATATTGCAATGATGTTTAGGGCTAAACCCTTTCTAAATATATCATCTCTGAAAAAATTATATTTCGCCTTTATTCACAGTTATTTGTCTTATTGTAATGTTGTGTGGGCTAGTACTAGTCATACAAAACTAAAGAAACTCTACAATAAACAAAAACATGCATGTAGAATAGTATTTGGAGCCGACAGAAATGTTCCTTGCGAACCACTTCTAAGTGTGCTCGGTGCTTTAAATGTATATAAACTTAATTTACACCAAGTTTTATTGTTTATGTTTAAAACAAAAAAGGATTTGTCTCCTAAAATATTTCAATCTTATTTTAATAAAATTAACCATAGGTACTCAACAAAGTTTTCAGAAAACAATTTTGTTGTTCCAAAACATAAATTAAAATTAACTTCCTATTCAATTAAATACCGCGGACCTTATCTGTGGAAGAAATTTCCAGATATTGTTAACAAAAAGCAGACTACATTAGAGCAATTTAAGGATGAATCAAAACGATTATTATTGTTCATGGATCTCAATAAATCCGACTTTAAATGTTTATTTTAAAGTAAACACAATAAAAAAAAAATAAAAAAAAAAACAGATTCAATTATATCAATGATATATGATAATATGAATAAGAAAAGAAAGAAAAAGGAAAAAAAGAAAAAAAAAAAAAAAAAAAAAAAAAGAATAAGAAATCCAAGTGATGATGTCACAAGTGATGATGTCATAAGTGATGATGTTACATATTCATTTAGTGTTAATTATGAGATTTTATTTTTTCAATTTCTTTTATATTCAGGAATTTTTTTTTTTTTTTTTTTTTTTTTTTTTTTTTTTTTATATTAACTTATTTCTTAAACATTTTAGCAACTGATAAGCATCTTAACGCTTCTTAATTAATTCTTATTTTTTATTTCTTTTATTATATTAGTTATTTTCTATTTCATTTCTATTTGTTTCTTTTATATATATATTTGTATGTTACGGTTATGTAGAATTTTTAATGGGGCTCGGCGATAAGGCGAAATGTGCCTTCTTCTTGCTCCAGCCATCAATTTATAAAAATGTATATGCAATGTAAAAATTTTTTAACGGCGAAATAAATTACACTAAAAAAAAAAAAAAAAAAAAAAAAAAATAGTTACATTGAATTCCCCCTTTAAAAAATATTTTCTAAAAAAACCAGAAGTAATTAATTCTAAAGAATGCTATTTATAATAGTGTCACGATATTTAAAAAAATTTGTGAAAATTTACAGTAGTTAAGACGTTTACAACTTACTGTTTTTATTTTTTGGTACAAATTGAAGTTTTAATAATTTGATCTTTTATTTTTGACAAGTCTTTATTAATAAAACAAAGTGTTTAATGAATATTTTTGTTGAGTAGTTTTCTACTAAATTTACTATGTTTGCTTTATAGAGGGTCACTGGCCCTCTATTAAGTCAATGCATTGTTTATCAGGTACATTCTTAGAAGAAACAAAACATTTTTACCAAGATTGTATGCTTTTTTGTATTCTTTTTTAAAAAAGTGGTTTTCAATATTTTGAATTAAAATAAGATCTGAAAAAAAAAATTTTAAAAAGCGAAAAAGAACTAGAAATGTAAATTGGTTCAACTAACCATATAGTAAAAATGTTTCGACTAATATAAGAAAAGTGTTTTTAATATTGGTTAATATGCACTTCCTGTCCTCTATGCAATTGATTAAAATTTTTAATTGGAATACAGTTAAGGTTAGCTAAAGTTGTACAAAAAATATGGAAAGAGTTATAAAAGGTCACAATAATGTTTTGTTAAACAGAAAATTGTAATTGTAAATAAAGAAACAATTGTCGATTGAACGGAAGTTGCGTATTAAAAAACGTGATAAATAAATGCGTTATTTCTTCTAAAAATATACCTGATAAACAATATATTTGCCTAAGAGAAGTTAAATGGAAAAAACATTATGCTAATCTTAAGCAGTCCTTTAAAAATAAAAGTATTCAATTTGTTAATCCCACAGTGAAGCGACCTATTTTATTTTTTTGCTTGTTGCACTCTTGTCTGTGGAGAACTAACATAAGGAATAAAAATTAATACAATTAAAATAAATTTGTTGTCCCATCCAATCCCCTTCACCAATGTAGCAGTACATTCCTTTGTAGCAGCATGCTATAACAAGATCGGAAAACGGTGCAACCACACACTATTCCCCAGTGGGCACGGGACGTTAAAAAGACGTCCTTAGGACGTTCACATCGGGTCCGTCCGTCCCATTAAAATTCGAACGTTTTTTTTTTGTCCAAAAAAAAATTCAGAATGCTTTATTAAATCAAAAAAAAATTAGTTATATCACGGAAGCGCTAAAACTTCCTAAAACTTTTAAGTAACGCATTTTTAATAAGTTTTTTTTTTCAATTACAAAAGAAGTCTTTTTACAACGACTAATAGACACGTTCTAGCTAATTTTTATTTTTGTTATCAATTACTTGTATAGTAATTCTATATCAAGAACCTAGTATAGTATGCTATATCAAGAACCAAGTTCTAACAATTTAAAGATTTAGACATCTCATGCAGAATTTTCCAATAGGAAAACCTGTTAATGATACATAGAACAATTATCCTGATAGTTCTTTGAATTCGATGTCTTTACTCGACAACATTGTGCTATTCTATAATGGGACCAGTACATTAGTTGATGATCTTCTTGAAATATTGCCAAATCAAGGTGTGGAACTTCCCAAAAATGCAAGGAGAATTTTAAAAACATGAAAAGTGATTGATTTATTAAGAATTTTAAAAATATGAAAAGCGACTTATAGACAGGTTCTTGCTAATTTATATATATATATTATATATATATATATATATATACATACATATATATATATACATATATATATATATATATATATATATATATATATATATATATATATATATATATATATATATATATATATATATATATATATGTATATATATATATATATATATATATATATATATATATATATATATATATATATATATATATATATATATATATACTTTTAAACATATAATTTCTAGTTAATATTGATACAGATATTGAAATTGATACAGAAATTGAAAGAAATAGTTAAAAACTGGGTATATGATATACTATATATATACTAAGTATATACTTGGCACTTGATATAGTATTTCAAGTATAATAATTGATACACTTTATCAAGAACCAAGTTCTAACTGTCTGAAAGACTTAGAAATCGCAGAATCTCATGCATAGTCATAATTTTCAAAAGGAAAACCTAATTATAAGACAGAGAGTTTATGTTGATCATTCAATATAATTCAATATCTTTAATTAACAACTTTTAGAATCGAAATAA